ATTTTAGTCGTTTCGAATTCAACAAAATAGTTTCAGATCAGGTTCAAATTATAACAAGTGATATCAAAGCTGAAGGTTTTATTTTGGCTTGGGAGGTCCAAATTGGATATTAAAGTAAGGTTGAAACAAAGTCAATTGTTTCATGGACGTCAACTATGAAATTTGAGACTTCGCTTTTGGATCGCAACAGTAAATTCTTTTGTGGCAAATCAAGATGCGAGCGGTTCTTGCTCAATTGGATCTTGATTATACTTTGTTGGGGATACATAGAATTCCCGCACTAATGACTATGGAGGAAAAGTAACGAAAGGATCGGAAAGCCCTATCGTAGATATATCTTAATCTTTCTAATCAAATTCTTTAGGATGTGGTAAAGGAGAAAAGTATTGTTGGGCTGTGGTTAAAATTGGAGCAACTTTGTATAATAAAGAGCTTGACAAGTAAGTTACACTTGAAGTAGCAGTTGTATTCTTATCGCTTGACAGAAGATGGATCTTTGAAAGATCATCTATCGGTGTTCAAGGAAATCGTCACTTACTTGGAAACCATAGAGCTCAAGTATGTTAAAGAAGATTTAGGGCTCATATTGTTATGTTCATTGCCGCCTTCATATGTGACTTTTAAAAATACCATTATCTATAGTCAAGATACTCTTACTATTAACGAAATATATGATGTGCTTTATTCCAAGTAGAAGATGAAGCATCTAGTCATCAGATTTAAGGCACACGTAGGGTCATGTTATTCATGAGAGGAAAACAGGTGATAATGGAAGGGATAGAGTCAAGGATAGCAACAATGATATAGTCTATTGGTATTGCAACAAGAATAGCACATGAAGAATGATTGCTATGAGTGGCGGAACAAGTTTACTACTATAGATTAGAAGGGACAACTAGAAAATTTCAGTTTTGATAGTCTTGTAGAAGAAGATCGCAATAATATTGGAGATCTTTTGGCAATTACTGATAATGACTTCAAACTTGACGATGATTGGATTCTTGATTTGACTTGCACTTTTCATATGTGGCCAAACCAGGATTGATTTTCTTCATATGAAATAGTTACAGAGGGTTCTGTGATGATGGGAAATAATTCACCTTATAAAATAGCTGGGATCAGTAATGTGAAATCAAGATGTTTAATGGGATGATTAGGACACTTGGCTAGGTTCAACATGCAGGTATAAACGGGAATATAATCTCTTTCAATACTCTTGATTCAAAAAGGGTACAAGTATACTTGTAGAGGTGGAGTTTCGAAAGTTAGCAAAGGTACCCTGATTGTATTAAGAGGGTGGATAAAACCTCAGTTATATGTGATAGAAGGTTTAGCAATCACTGTGGATGCAGCAGCAGCTTATGGTTTGATAAATGGTGACTTAGGTGGAGTCAGTTGTAATCGGATTATTTGTGGTGATTCGAATAATAATATTGGAGAGCTCAGGTGGAGCTAATTGTGATCTTGTTGATCAAGGTAATTTGACCAGGTTTGATAACTCGATGGAGATGGAAGTGCTCTTGGTGATTCGAATAGTTTTGGTGACTTGGCTGGAGCTGGAAGTAAATAGGGATAAATCAAACAAGGTTAGGACAAGGTAGTTCTGTTAGTAGGTGAGGCATGGATTTATTTCATGGTTGCCGAGTATATCCAGCACGGGCGCGATATAAGAGGTAGAGTAATTTGGTGGAGTGTTTTGTTTGGAGAATTTTGTTGAAGCTGAAGAGTTAAGTTTCATTTCTTGCAATGAAATTCGTGTCAAGGTAGAGTTTGTTAGAATTAGATTGTAAACCGAATTCTTGTTGAATATTTAATTAGAAATAATATTGGAAGAGTATTGAAGGAATCCAAAGTGAATTTCATTCATATTTCATCCCACATTGTCTATTATTAATTTTACCCATTGTATTGAGACTTCACTTTATATTAAACTTTTCATGCATTAATTTTTCTAATATGTTAGGGATTCTTTAGTTATAAATATGTAGTGGCAACACATATTGGAATTTACCAATTATCCAATTAGTTATTGGTTCAAAAAGATCCTTTGTAACTTCTTATTATTGATTATAGTGAATTCTCCGTCTCTCCTCGTGGTTTTTTCGGATTTGGGTTTTCATGTAAATCTTGGTTTCTTTGTGATCCATTATTTTCATATTGTCCATATTTTTCCGTTCTTTAATTATTTAATTGAATTCTTAACAAATTGGTATCAGCGTTATTCCGTATTCAACAAAGTGATTTCAGATCTGGTCCGAATTATAACAGTATGTGCAAAGAAAAATGACCCACGAGTTTATATATATTGTGCAATTATTAATAATAAAAAACTACATATTAATGGAAAGTACGTATCTTGAGATTTGTGAGTTCTTCTGGAATTTTGCTTCTTGCAAGTAGGGTAGTCAATTTGGACCCAAAACTCATTTACTTTCTAAACATGAATCATGGAACAAGCATAGCCTTCAATGTACATGAGCTTAATTTGGATCGACAATGGGATCGACCTTGTTTCCGGTGATTCGTTCAAAAGATCAAGTAAATGATGATTGTTTGGCTGTGCTAAATAAATAGATTAGATTTAATTTTAAGTTAATTATTTTGTCAAACCCAATTTTCAGAGTATTCTAATAAGTAATAGCCAATAAAATTTTCAGATGTATTTAAAACAAACTTTAAAAGAATAATAAATTTTTAATCTTTTTAAAAATTTAAAATCATACTGAAATTATGGGTTCGACTAGCGAAACTTTTCAAAGCATTGAAAAGTGGAATTTATATTGAAAGATTCAATGGCTCTAATATAAACAAACACCAATAAATTAATGAACCATGTTCAGCATAGACTGGGAACCAACACCAGTTGATAGAAAGAATAAATGTCTTAAAGCATAAAATCACTAGAATCGAAGAAACTATTGTTTTCAAAAAGTTGTGGACTTCTTTATTAACATTAAATGATATAATTCTCAAAGAACGTGTTTTTTTGGGGGTCCTGGGGGTAACGTACGTACTGAAAATAATTCTTTATGATTTGTCTATTGTAATAATTAATAATATACTACTGATTTCGGAATACCCTAGCTGTCAAGACAAATATAAACAACTTCGAAAATCGCAGTATATTCTGGAATTAATAGTTTTTCCCGTAATTTTCATACTTTAATGAATATCTTGGAATTATCATATGCTCTAAAAACAGCAAAATAGGTTAGCTCGAAATATCCCATCTCTTTCAACAAATTCTATATATTAACTCTTCAGAAGAACACAGAGTAGAAATTCTGATACCCCCATGTGCCTTTCTGTGAATTCTCACTTAACTTAAATCACTCTGCATTTGATCAGACCTATCCAACTCAACAATCCTAAACAAGACAAACAATGACCAATCACCTTAAATCTGTCTTAGATAAATATAGAACTTCGACAAAACCAAAGTGGCCAAGCATCTTTACATGTAATAGTTATGTTACAGAACAAAATACCCATATCATTAAAAGGAAAGACTACATTGAAAATTGACCCCCCAAAATCAATTTGTAGTGTTCACTAGATCCACATCTAGGAATCACTTGCACAGATAATAACAAGTATGATAAAATATACTAATGTATTTTGTAACTAAAAATTATAAAGAAATGGAATACCATATGAAATTGTTAATATATATGAATAATGTTGTTCAAATTCACTACTGACCCATAAATAGTCATGTTATATATGACTTTAGTTTATTTTTGGTCCTAATTATTGTCATCTTAAATGTAGGATTTTAAGATGACACGTCACCGATGATCAATAAACACAGCTTATCAATGACAATACTTTATTATATACAACTCTTAAGATGAAGGAAATATTGTTATACAAAAGGAGCTAATTTCTTAATCTTTAGGCAAGTTCAAAAGATGCAAAATCAAAATATGTTTATTGCATGAGATCTAAGAACGTATTTGCTATACAATATTAGCATGAACTTGACTGTAAAGTACACAACAATTTAAATTAATGTTGTTTAGAAATCTAGAGTCCATCTTTGCAAAGAGCTTAATTAGGATATAAGCTCAGTATGTTGGAGTAATAAACAAGGAGTGGTTTTAGCTATTATGCTGCAGCTAGGGTTAGGGTTTGATGAGTGTTAATTATTATTCTTCATTCCTTATCCAGCATTCTTCATAATGTTCTGCATTTATTCTCATGCTGAGAAGGTTATTAAATAGGCTCAAAGAGAAACAAACAAAAGAAGCGTTTTTTACGCCTATAATCATGCATGATGTAATAATATTCCCTTTGGGAATAAAAAAGGGTATGTGTATGATACTTAAATGTATTGATTCCTTGTAGTTGGTGGAAAATTTGGAAGGATTGAGAAAGAAAAAAAAGTGAAAGACCAGAACACAAATGTATGGATTTATGCACTAAATATTACAATAGATCTGATGACGATGATTACAGTACAAAGAAAAAGGGAATCAGTGTTATGTTGCATCTGACTTATGTATTCTTGAAAATTGAACTGTGATTGTTTGTTAATGTTAATAATTAGTTTATATGAACAATAATATTAGTGATGCACTGGTCTATGTGAAAAGGTGTTCACGGCATTCGATGAAGTTTTTAGTCAGTTTCTTCATCCTCTGAGCCCCAAATTGTGTGTGTAATAATCCTCAACTAATTGAAGGAAAGAAAAAAAAAAAAAAAAAAAAAAAAAAAAAAAAAAAAAAAAAAAAAGTACTTCCTTAACCTGTACTTCTGGCCTGAAATAAGATTTAATTAGACTTGAAAAGGTTTAATTAGACTTCAAATACTGCCTTAAACATAATATGTTCATCTCCTAAAAATACTATCTATACTTGAATAGGTTTAAGTAGACTCCTATGCCAAATCTTCTACCTGCGATAATCTATTGCCTTATACAGTGTGAATTGTTCATGCACTGAGAGTTAACAATTGTAATCCTTTGTAGGAAATTCAACGGTCATATCTATATCGTGATCAAGAACAATAATTTTAATGTATAAGAAGTAAAGATTATCACACTTAATAAAATTACTATTACACACTGCAAATTTGACAAGTATCTTGAAAGGAGAAAGTAAAGGTGTGCCATGTTGAAGGAAGAAGAGTTAATCTCAAATCATCAAAATAAAGGAGAAATAAGGGCAGATAAACTTTCAGCTGAAATTAACAGATAAAAAAGAAGTATTCTGCATACTTATGTTGGAATTACCATTATGCAGTTTACTTCACCTTTGGAGCACCACCAAGCCTGAGTTCGAGATCCAATTCCTCTATGGTGCTAGAACACACTTTAAGAACCTCCAATTGGGGATGACATATCTCAACATGACTCGATTTTTGTAAAAACGTTAACGGCCTCAGATCGATTCTCCTTCTTTTACAACCTGCAACTTCCTCATCACTACTGGATTCATTTGTTCGAGTTCGATAAACAGCTAAATCATCTGTGGGACAATCTTGTTTAGCCTTAGTATATGGTTCTAAAGTCTTAGATTTCCTCTCTTCATTGTACAAATTGAAAACTTCAGCATCCTTCTCTGCAATAAAGCTAGACCAGGATGCAGGAGGGGAAGAAACGTTATTCTTCTGATTAACTTCTAATCGTCTGGAAAAGAAACGAAGGCCGGGTAACTTTTCATCGGAGTTGGCCTTCGTGGGTAGAGCGGAAACCCTAATATGCGAAGAAGGCGAAGCTAGAATTTCAGGATCAGAAAAATCAGGATTAGGGTTGTACAGCAAGGTACATATTTGAGATGGAAATTGAAGATCAACGTGATTATGAGTAAGATCTTCGGTTTGAGGAATTGGAGACTGTTTCAATCTGGCTCTATCCCTCCTATGGACATTCATATGACCTCCTAGGGCTTGAGCAGACCTGAACTCTCTTCTACAAAAACTGCAAGAATAAGATCTTGGAGGCCATGTACACCCTCCAAGAGCTCCAGCTGCATCTTCTGCAAAAGCTTGTTCTTCCCAAGAATCTCCATATGATGCAAAAACATGTGAATTCAAATCGCCTTTTTTCTTTTCCCACATCCAATTCCTTGTTTGCTCCATTCTGACAAAAAAAGAAAACCTGATTTTGGATCAATTCCGCAAGAAGACAAGACAAGTATGGCTGACAGCTTTAGAGAGGAAATAAGAATTGGAAAATGACAGATATGCAGTCTACTTCTGAGTAATTGAGAAGTTACTTAGAAAAATATGGTGGAGAGACCGAGTGATTAGCTGAAAATAAGCCATTTTTGCTAAGTTAGGGGTGGAAGGTGGGTTGGTGGGCACTCTAACTTTGGCCGTTCTCTCATGCAGATAATATTTTGTATTTTGGTGGGTCTTTCCAAACAAAAATCTCCTTGTCGTAATGCCTGACTGTATTTTCACAATTCTTTTCAATTCTTTTGAAAATTCACATGAGTGGGTCATTCAAAAACGTTTCATAAACGGTCAGGAGTGCTTGGAATTTAGATGCAGACTGAGATTTTATGAGTTCAGTCATGAAAATGTCCAAGTCCTCATGGTTCGAGGAATCATGAGCTTGGACTTTTAATTTCTTTTCTTTTTTTATGCAGGTTTTGCGTATTTCTCCTTTTGTCTTCAACGTATACAACTGATACAGACATTTCCGCATTCGTATTCTCAAGAATACACTTTAAAAAAAAAAGGTAAAATTACCGCTGCTATATTAATTACTTAACGATGAAGGTGGACCTTTTTTGTAACACTATTACTTTGGCCTTTCAATTCTAGAATAACACTCTTTAATTTTATTTCATTGTGTATTTGAGAAGACCAGAAGGCAATTTGAGTATAATTAAGTTTAAAATATCCATGAAACATTGCTTTAGATCTAATTAGCGAAAATGATTCTCTAATGTATAATTATGTTAAATATAAACTGTACAAGTAAAATGTTAGTACAAAAACTGTGCAATAGTATTTTTATTTTATTTTATTTTTCATGATTAAAAAGAGAATGCAGCCAAACGTGCCAATTGTTGTGAATCTCGTACTGGAAAGCACATGTAGAAATCAATAAAAATCTAGATTAGCATTGGTTGCAATTTGCTTTCTACGTAGAAACAATGTTAGGATTTTCTGATCTTTAATATTTTGCCTCTAAATTTGTCTCTAAAATAGAATTTACAATAACACTATACTATTATATGAGTTCATGTGCAAGATATACAACCTTTTGAGTTAATTCTTCAATATATATGTTAATTTGAATGGAGACTCTATTTATAGGCATGCGCTAGTTTGATCATCTCTTCTATTTTGTTGCATAATTATCTCATGTTTGAATCTCTTTCTTAAAATTCATTTTAAATCGCACTCTTTCAATAACATAATTTTGTACATAAACTTAAAATTCTTACTACTTTTAACTACACAATTTTCTAAAAATTTTGCTTGTGACAAAATATATTCTAAAAATGGGGCTCATAGAGGGCTTTAGTACTCCACCCTTCCATCATATTACCCCATTTGTCAATGGAACTCTAGCACATAACTCTAGTCATTCCACATTCAGAGGCGGGGTTCCATTTATGCCTATTAAGACTTTATGTTCTATTTTAAAATATCAACATTGTTAAAGGTAATTCTAACTCTTATATGTTGATAATTTTTTTTCGATGTAAAATTTTTTATCTTAATATGTCCTTGCAATATGAATGGCTACAAGGTGAGTTCAGGTCTAGGCAACCTCCCCCACTAGGTAATTTCTCGCCCCGTACCTGTCCCATTACTCGTTTAAGGTGGGAGGAGCTGGCCTTTGTCCCGTTTAGTACCCGTTTAATTTTTTTTTTTTTTATAATTCGTTTTATTGTCTCATTCATTAAAGTGGGACAATAATATAGTTTTTAAATTTATTTATTTCTTTATTTATTTTTAATAGTTAAATTATTCAAACATATTTGTTAAATGAAGGTTTTTATTATTTATCCGATTCTTTGGATAATCTTAATTGCCATCTTCTATTAAAACTAATGAAATTTTGTGAAGTTTTCCATTAAAGTATTGATTTTTATAAAAAAAAAAAAAAAAAAGTTAAATGGGGCAGGGCGGGCCCTAGCTACCTATTCCCGCCTGGGGCAAAATCCCCCATCCTATCCCCGACTCGAATACTCGATTAAGTGGGTGGAGCGGGATCGCGGGTATTGGGTTTGACGATTTTTTGCCATCTCTACCTCACGATGATGGCTCATTTGATCAAACTCATCTCAAGATCTATGCATCAGTTAAATCTAATCGGATTGAATTGTTTGTTAGATCTTAATAGGTTTTGATATCATATTCGGACTTGAACTTTCATTTTAACAGGTCAATGAAAAACCAAATTCCTTGTATGTTAGTTGTTTATTTCATCATTTTTTGACGTAAAAAATTTATCCCTTTGACATTTTATTAAAGCTTTGTTTGTGCTCCATTTTTTATGAAAACGATTTTTGTAATAGTAATTTTTGAAAGACTGTGTGATTAAAAAAGGAAAAACTTTGAATTTATATGTAAAATTATTTTATTGAGAAAATATATGATTAAAAATGAGTTTAAAAAATTAATTTTTTTTAAAATTAGGATCAGACATGAGCTAAGTCCCAAATTAGTCCCACTAACGGACCACATTCAGGCAATGCACCGATTCCTGACTACTGGAGAGTAAATTGGCCTCTCTTCCTCATCATTCAACCACTAAAACAAGGGTGGCGTTGATTTTTCTTGATTAAACATGGTCAAGCCGCCTGTCACTGATAAGATTTGTTAACAAATTTTTAGGATAATTACAGCAAAATCCTGAAAATAAATAACGTACCCTTAATTATCAAAGTGTTGGAGTTGGGTTGTTTGGTTAGTTTGGTAAACAATATTGTTAGGATTTTATTGTATTGCCAAATCTTTAGACAAAAGAACTAATACGAAAAGTTGTAAAAGTCAAGGAGTCAATTGAAATGTTGTATAAATGAAATAAGTAACTTAGGGTTCGAGTTTGGAATAGGTAGGAAAGATCGGTGAAATTTACGCTAGCATATTGCCCATCTGATGCTCGAGCAGAAAAAATAGTAACCTTGTCGTCTGTCTATTGCTGAGCTATCGTTCAAGCGACACACGATTGCTCGCCTTTCGCAAACTTGACGTTTGAGCGACGGTGTTATGTGAAAAACTATAGTTCATGTTTTTCAAGAGTTTTATATTGCCTGTACTAACCAAATGCCTTCTACTATATATACTTAAACCCTAACATGAATTTTGAAGTGGTTGTATGTTCTCCTACATATCATTCTTCAAAGATTCAAGAACATATTCAAACTTTTGATTTATCCATTGATTATTGAGTTCATAGTCATACAACCTCAAATTTTGGAAAAACATCAAAATCATATAATCCAAAACACCTAATTCCTAAACACACAGAAAGATACTTTCTCAATAATATTCAAAGGTTGTTGAATATTGAGAGAGGTTGGACTAGAGGCATAGGAAGAGTACAAGAACAATGAGATCTTGGTGATCCATAAGAGATATCCAATTCCAGAAGATCGAGAACAAGTGTGAGTGAAACACATTCCAGCGGGTCTTAAAGATTGTAGGAATTTGTTCAGCAAGTCCAGTGAAATTTCTAGGATGAATGGTACTATAAGTTCATTATTATCTATAATGAAGTTTACTGACTTAGTCTCGAAGTTTTTGCCTAATTGGATTTCTCAATCAATAATGGTTAAGTTAGTTACTGCTTTATTGATATTTGTGGCAATTCAACTTAAGATAATTAAACTTGTTTGATTAATCATTTAGGACAATTAATAAGTGACTTCTTGCTATTAATTGAAAATTTTAATTTCAATGTATTCACTTATTCATCCCCCTTTAGGTGATTTTACGGTCGAACTAGTAGATTTTTAAATAATATCATAGCCTAAATTTGATCCTTGACCTTATTAGTCTAAATGAGTTGACCATTATTCGTTCATCCTTATTTTGATGGCAGTAATTACGCCTACTCGATAGAATGAGAGCTTTCCTTAAGTCAATGGATGAGCATATTTGGTTTAGCATAGTAAATGTGGACTACTTACCCCCACTCCTATTGCTAATTGGTTGAACTCTAATTTCGATGAGTGCAGTTGGAATGGTAAAGTCCTACAGGCTTTATTTATGGCAGTGTCCCCTAAAGAATTCGTGCAAGTGTCTATGTGTGAGGTTGCAAAAAAGATTTGAGGGATTTCACATACCACACTTGGGAGAACTCAAGTTGTTAAGAACTCTAAGTTATAGATGTTGATCACTAGGTTTGAAGAAATTATGATGAAGGATGATGAAACCTTCGATGACTTCTATGCAAGCTTGAATGACATAGTTAATTATAACTTCAACCTAGGAGATGGAATTCCTGAGTCTAAGACAGTTAGAAAAATCCTTAGATCCTTACCTAAGAAATTTACTAAAACTACGACTATAGAGTATAGTGAAGACATAGATGCCATTAAGGTGGAAGAATTGGTTGGATTTCTCCAGACTTATGAATTAACTTTAGTTAAACCTACAAAAGATAAGTCTTTGGCCTTGAATACTGTTAGGGAAATCTGTAATGAGTTTTCTAATTCGGAATCACCTAATGATGAGCATATGGCTTCTTTTGCTAAGAAATTTTGGACGGTACCTTATGGGACGGAATCACTTGCAAATATGCCGCCAAATAACATCTAATATTTAGCATAGTACCATCACTTTTTGCCTGCCCTAATATTTACAAAACTCATTTTATCAAAATTCACCTTCAATCACACGTTTTTTCATGAAATAATTTTAGATGTAAATCCCAAAAAAAAAAACATCTTATTTTTTAATCCCACATTCTCTAAAAAATCACTATTTCATAATACATTTTCTTACAAACATGGGGCTCAAACTTTGGCTTTGATTGTGGCTCTGTGGAGGCAGCACGAGAAGTGTTCATAAGGTGGATAGCGCGTAAAGTGGGAGGAAAAATGGCCAAGAATGCAAGCAATATGATTCAATAATTTAAATGAGTAAATATGATTAATTATGATACATACTATTTGGGTCTTGCAAACTTGCCACTTGTTGGGCAATGTCATTGGTCGAGGTGAATAAATTGTAACAATTACAAACTTGTAAAAAAGAGTAAATATGATTCCAGAGTCGATTATCTATTATCTTGATTAAAAAATAGAGAACTTTTTGGGATCCAGTCCGTTTCAGTTTCGGTGCCTAATTTATTATTTTTGAAACCGGATTGGAACTTCCTATTTCGATTTGAAATGTTG